CGGCTCCAGCGCCGTGCCAAGGGCTGCTGTGCTGCCGGGGCCCGGCTGCAGCCGGAGGGAGCGGCCCGAGCTGCAACAGCGGCTCTGGGCCGGCAGGGCCGCAGCAGCAGCAGCAGCAGCAGCAGCAGGAGGAGGAGGAGGAGGCGGCAGTTCCCGGGCCCGGGATGAGCGCTGGCATGTATTATCTGAGCGGAGCTGATGTCTCTCAACGCTTTAGCTCTAGAATTACTCTGAGGCCCGGGAAGGCCCCGCTGGCCGTGGCAGTGGAGCTTTTGGCGGCTGTGGGATGGAGTGGCCGTGGCAGAGTGTGAGGCAGCTTGAGGAGAGGGGGCCCAGGGTGGGCTGTGGCCCATTGCCAGGTGGGGCAGGTGCAGCTGTGGGCTGAGGCGTGGGGTTTGTGGGCAGGGGGGGCTGTGGCGTGGCCCGAATTGCACGCTGTGGGAGTTGGTGGCCAGGTGCATGTGGCAATGTTGCCTGCTTGGGGTGTCCCTGAGCCCCCGGGTGCTGTCAGAGCTGTGCAGGTTGTGTGGGTGCAGCTGGGCTGCTGCAGCTGCAGCTGGGAGTGTGCAGGAGGGAAGTGGCTCCTCTGCTCAGCCTGGCCCTAAAGCTGGAATGTTTTGTGCTTCTCCCAGGTTGCTCCGCTTGAGCCTGGGACCTTGTGGCCAGCCCAGAATTGTGATGGAGCATTTTGGAGCGTCCCCAGGACTGCAGGTCGGAACCTGGGGTGCGACAGGTGAGGTTTTGGGTTAAGCCGGGTGCTGCTGAGGTCCTGGGGCCTGCCAGAGCTTTGGGTGCTCAGGGGCAGATGGATGTGCAGCCCCTGGGAGCTGTTGCTGGCCGTGTGCTCAGGGACACGCCGCTCCCTGTGGCTGTGCTGGGCTCCTGTGTGCCCCTGAGGCATTGATTTGGGGGGTGGGGGGAAGGAAAGGGGCCAGGGCCTCCTGTTAGTTTGGGTCCTTTAGTGTCTGTAAAAACCAGATTGTCCCTGTTTGCCACCCACACCTTCCTTAGAGGGAATGAACAAACAGGCAGAGACCTGAGCAGGTGGGGGGAATCCAAAGCCCACCCATGGCTATTTCTAATCTGGACGGGGCAGCCTTCCTTCTCCCCACCCTGGAAAGGTCTGGAAATCCCTGTTTTTTGGGAAGCTGGCAAAGCTGTTTCCTGTCAGAGGTATAGAGGAGGTCTCTGCACTTGGAGCAGTGTGAGGAAAGGGACTCTCTCTGGAGAAGTTGGTGGAGAGCTGTGTGCTGTGGGAGGGATCCCGGGCCTGGGGCAGGGGAAGGAGCCCGAGCTGCTCTGGGGAGCAGCAGCAGGAGGAGGGGATGGTGTTGGGATTATTAATATTTTTGTAGGAATGCCTGTTGGCCGAATTGAGGTCCAAACGAGACCGTAAACCAAAGTCAATAGCACAGATTTTATTTAACTGTGAATGAGACAGAAATAGAAGAAGGGGGGAGGTGGGTGGTAGAGAAAGGTGGTGATAGATGAGGTAGAAAGTATCAGTAGTCCATGGGTCCCAAGGACATCCCATTGGGCCTTTCCGTCTGGTGATCTTGGTGGTGAGGATCCAGCCATGGGTTCACTGGATAATTATTCATTCCAGCCAGGTGGGAATCCCCAGGGAGGGGGACGAGGGAGGCAACAAGTTTGACAAAGTCTGGCAACAGATTTTGAATCTGTTGCATCACGTGCAGCGCTCTGGTGAAGGCCTGAGGAAATGAAAATGAATCTTGAGGAGCTTTGGGGGTCTTTGATGGTTTCTAGCCCCTCCTCAGCTGCCCCTCAGGTGTGTGTGGCCTTCCTGGGGTCAGGGTTTTACAGCTGAGTCATTTTGTGTAGGAGAGGACGGGTGGGTGTTCACTGCCTGTGACCAGAAGTTGTGCCACAGACCAAAGACCTCTCGGGGGAGTGTGTGAAAACCTCATGGGATTGGGTCTGAGGGCCATGGCCTCTGCCACCCCAGACCCACCCAAAGCTGGTTTTCGTGAAAGCCGCTGAGTTTTGCATTCTGGGGGATCCTTTCTTCTCCCTCATCCTTGTTTACTTCTCTAGACTTGAGATAATTGATCAGTGTCCCATTTATGCATCTCAGGTTCCCTTTTGGGTGGCTTAACTCACAGTCCAAAGTTCCCCTCAGGAGGCATCCTTGGGGTGGTGTGTGGGGGGCTTTAGTGGTGGCAGCTTTTTTATAAAGTTTTGCCATGGTGGGCAAGAAGAAATCCTTCATAGCGAACTTTGAGCCGTTGAGCGCAATCTTTGTGTCTCAAAATGGGGCCGGAGTGGGGCGGGGATGAGGGAGATGGAGGCGGGTGTGGGCAGGTGCCCGCGGCAGCCCCTCCCGCCCCGCGCGGCCGGATGTCCTTTGGAGCGGGAGCGGCGGG